AATTTATATTACAAAATCATGATCAAGTTGTCTATATACATCACCAACAACTAATTTAGCAAATAGCAAAGAAATAAAAACAATTTCTATTCATGAGACAGTGCTATATGATCTAGCACCATAAATGGTACTACAGCTAATACTCCAATCCCAAACCGCGGTAAGCCAGTGACTTTCTTTCTGAATAACAGATTTTTATACAGCAAATTTGATAATTAGGCCAGCATCCTAAGCCATTCAAACTCAATTCCTCCCATGACATTGATTGTGCCTTAACGAACTAAATGATTACAACTTCACCATCTTCAAGGAAACCGGTCCATCTAGACAAGGCGTCATAAATCTTTGTATTATCTCTTCCTTACTCTTCTTATCTCTTGCCTTAATGAGCTTAATGACTCAATCCTCAAAATTAATCCCATGAGGTATAGGGCCCTCGACACTAATTGAATCCATTAAACAAATTGAGGTGACTTGGGCATACCATTTAACCTATAATGTCACGCTTAAACCTTTACAAAGATATGAACATCCAACTCAAAATTTGAGATACTTCCCACCAATTTCACAGACTGAAGAGGATACTAAATCCCTAAGACATAAATTCATGCATCAACTCAAAAAACACTACACATCCTAGAAACCTCTTTTTGATAGATAGCAACCTTATGAATTCAAGGCACAACAAAGAAGAGTAGAAGGAGAAAAACATGTTGCTTTTATCTAGATGGAAGTACAATGGTCATGGGACTCTATGTTAGGATTTTTACCAAAGAGCCTAGGGTTCAGCTACTCCTTTTACCCGCGACAGAAAGGCCTAAGCTTCTGCATCAAATAAAAGATACAACTGAGCTTGCTCATCACAGTGTAGCAACCTCGGGGTAACTCGATCATTGTCCTCATATTCAAACAACCTTTTTCTCCTGGTTTCAACGATGATAACTAGGCAATAATTGCTCTAACACTAAGGAATTGAGATGAGTGATGGATGCTGCTTTCAAAATTTTCAAACCTCAAAAGAAACTAGCACCTCAATTAGAATCTCAATGATCCCTAGAAATCAAAAAGACCCATGTTCACCATTCAAAAAGTACACCTCCACCCATAAACTCACTACATTTTGCCATTACAATTTTCCAAGTATAATTCCTAAGTTTACAAGGGCTCAATAAAAAACTCAAAGCATTAATTACTCAATTGCATTCAAAAAGTTCCTACTTTTCATTTCAATATTTCAATCAACTTTCCTAAATTCTCATTATCTCTTCCAAACATTAATCTTTGAGAAAATTCAACTAGAACCAATAGAAATAAGCAATGTGTGAGCAAAAAATATACCTGACCATCATACCATCCTGTCTCCTCATCTGAAATCAAACAGAAAACACATTCATCAGACACATACCCACAAATCAGTACATCCCCCACCCTCCCCGCGGCCAAATTAAGCAATAATACGCATCATGCTCTCGAATGAACATACAATTCAAATTCAAAAAAATACTACTAGTAAAAATAGAAGATCACATTACATTCAACAGTGGCACTGAGTAAGCGATTGCCCACATAAGCCCAACCCAAGTACATCCTCAGAACAGCCAAAGTAACAACAAACAGTCCACTCGAAACCGAACCCAAAACCACTTTAACCGGGTCATGATCAAACCCGACTGAACCAAACCAAGAAACGGGTAATCCTACAAGAAGACCAAAGGAAAGACCAGTGGCAAACAATCTAGAAGCATATTCAACAAGATCGCCTGATGGCCATGAAAAAGGAAAGGAATTTGATAGATTTTGGTATTCATTAATGGGTTGTTGATCTAATGGAACAGGACACTCTGTTCCTGGTGGGGTGCTGTAATTTCTGAAGAATTTTGAAGGGTTAGGGTTTAAGGGAAGATTGATTGATCTTTTTGGGGGAAAATTGAGGGGTTTGGATGAAGGTAAGAGAGAGAAAGGGGTGGAGAAGATGAAGAAGGTTGAGGGTGAAAGTGAAAGTTTTGGTGAGTTGAAGAAGGTTTTGGCCATGGCTTAAAAAGCCCTTATCTGAGAAGCAGAAATTTCTGCCTGAATTTTGCAAGAGGTATATATAGTCATTCATGACTCATTAGTACATTTTGTACTCTAGGAAGCTCCTACCTGGCTACATATACATTTGGAGAACGAGTATGAGTAGTTGGTCGGGTCATTACTCATTAGAGATCGGTTAAGACAATGATGTAGACGAGATTTGATTTCATGTCTTGTCATCTTAGATTGAATATTACCTTAACATTTAACCAACTAAACTATGTTGTTCATAAAGCATAGTTACTGATTCACACTTTTCCCACATAAACTACTTATGTGCGATGAAGAAAGCGCTATACTTGGAACATTTGAAGAATTATGTCCAAGATGATTAATCACTCACTGTATGCAAATAGTCCGAAACTTTCACTTTATTACTTGTTCAAATTTCTTTTCTTTGGATGCCTAGATTTCTTATTTTTCATTCAAAATATATTTTTCTCTCCTATATTTGAGCCCTAAACTCATTAACCCATTTATAATTTTCAATTGCATAGGAATGTGGCAATGGTAATGAGACAAGTAAATAAAAATTGGAGATCAAAATTATCAAAGAGAATATTTAAAGTGTGTTTTATTCACCTGATTTTCACTTATCATAAACTAGTTTTCTTAATTAGACTAATTTTATCTAGTTTAGGCACATATAAAATTAAATTAGGTCACACTTTAGCTAAACTAAACTTGTTAGAAATTATTTTTCAAGAATCCAAATTATTTGAACTTGTTTTTTCAAAATGTATCCAAATGCCTAGCCTCACCTTTGTCTCTCCCCACCTTGTTATTCTCCTTATATATTCTGTCTTTTTTGTATAATCTCGAGTTAACAACTTACACAATATGCTACCTTTTTCTCTCTCTCTTGTTGCCTACATTATAGTCTCATTGTCTCAAATACAATTTTAGTGACACAAAAGAAGTAATTGGATTGGATAATAAAAATACGGATAATGCAGTTAACCAATTGGAATGATAGGGCAAAAAATCTTGCGTGGACGTGATCCATAATAATATTATTGTGGACCTAAGGTTTATACACACGTAACTGACATTATATTCAACATAGTGACCCCTAATTTAAATATAGTAACCTTATTTTTAACATAATAATATTTTTAAAAACTTGTGTGACCTTTAATGTTATTATGAACTTAAAGAACAATATTACGTTAAATAGTGACCTAATTTTAACATAGTGATCTTTAGTATTCATATTGATCATTATATTTAAAATTTTATTAGAAAAATTAACCTCTTATGCTTTTATAATGTCACACTAACTTTTATTCACATAAAAATCTTTATTTAATATAGTGACTTTTTTTTAATTAATAAAACAATCATATTGTCTCTAATGTTGATAATTCATAATATAATAAATTAGTGTGATCCAGGTTTATTTAAGAATTTGTAATGATAGGGGCGATACCACGATACATGAGAAAACAGCGTAGATGCAATAATATATGATGGTGGCTAGCAGGAGGTGATTATCGAGACATTAGGCAATATTGGGTTGGGGAATTAGTAGGAGAAAAGCAACATACTTTATGTTATTTTCAGTAGATATTTTCTATTTTTGATTAATTATTTATGTTATTTAACGGATTTAGTTAACTAACTTTTATTTAGAAACAATTTTGTTAATTTTTTTTTTTTTTTGAAAAAAGTCCTAAAAGGACACTAAATTTCATTAATGTAAGCCATACGGCATCTACAATTGACAATGAATGATAATGAAACGAATTTAACAAAATCAAACAAGAATTAATCGGGGAAGGGCAAAGAATCCAAATACATAAATATAACAATTCGGCATATTCTCGATTCGTTGTCTCATACAACTTTTTGAGTGGATCCGTCGTCGCTTCGCAATTTTGTGAGAAAGTAAATTCTTGTGTTGATTCTGTAACCCGAATCCGAGCCACAATCAATAGTAGCCCCGCACAACCGGAGACCAAATTAAGCACAAATAAAACCTTGTCTTTCGAAGGAGTACGAAAAACCTTGTCTTTCGAAGGAGTACGAAAAACCTTGTCTTTCGAAGGAGATCGAAAAAACCTTGTCTTTCGAAGGAGATAAACCCTTTCTTTCGAAGGAAACATTATTGTGACCTAAAACAAATTAAAAAGCTTAAAAGAAAATAAAGATTGGGGCTTTCCACCGGTGAAATCCGATGGAAGCCCCTTAAAATTAACAATGGAGACTAGGTTTAGGAGAGAGAAGAGAGAAAAGGAGGCTAGGGTTTTTTTCTTGAATCCTGAAACAATTTTGTTAATTAACTTAGGGTCTTCAATTTTTTTATTTTTTTTCAAAAAAAAAACAAAATATTTTTTTTACCATGCAAATATAACCATTTGGTCCGTTCCAATAATATACGAATTTAATATTGTAGCTTATTTTATCCCATCAATTTCTTCTGTGCGCACGTTTTATCCTTAAAAATGTGCACATGAAATATAAATAATTTTCCTTGTATAGACTATAGAGTAGGTGTTAACTGACAAAAAAGTTTTCTCATTTGAAGATCTTAGATGAGCAACAAATACCCATGAATATATATCAGAATTCAAAATGCAGAAATAGATGTACACACTTTTTCTAACCTCCATCCAGTTGTGTCCTTTTCCCCAAACCCAAAATTTTCAAAATTTAAGCCCCAAAAGACCTGAAAAAGAACAAAGTTTAGTCCCTAAATAAATCATAAGGTTTAGTCCCTAAATAAATCATAAGAAACTCCCTAAACTATACAAGATACAAATCCAAAATCCAATTTTATCATTAATGCCTATGCTAAATGTAAGAAAACAATCCAAAACGACGACAATCGTTGCAACTGCAGGGCACCAAAGTGCAAGAAAACAGCAATGTATTTCTAACTTATGGCCCTTGTCAACCCTCCCACCCCCAAAGTAAAACAAACACAATAAGGAATGAGCTATCTCGCTTTCCCCCCATTTTCATCTTTACATTCCACAATAGTAAATATATAAACCAAGTGTTTACAATTTCAATTGCTTGTAGAAAACAATATTGCCAAAAAATAAATTACAAAAAAAAAAACACAAAACTGTGGTTTTATTAACTTTATTTTCACTTTTTTTTATCCCAACTGAAACTTATACACTTTGGAATTTTCTTTTGTCAGTATTTTCTTGCACATATTTAAATAATATTAACACTTGCAATCCTACAACAGCTAACCCTCCATGGCAACCTCCACTGCGCTTTGCACAGCCGATCAATTTTTGAGGATAACCACGGCTCTCACAATTGAACTTCTGAAGTGGTAGTGCTGAGTCCCCGCTTCGAATGAACCAACACCAGACAGTCCAGAGTTCTGTGTTTCTTTGCAACAAAAATACCAGTTTACACAGCTACAGTTCAGCTGCTCCTGTTACTCCAGCTCTTCGAGCATAGCAAAAAAATCCTAACTATGAACACAATGGATATATCACACTTGTTTAATCTTTTTGTACAACCAAGCGATGAAGACCCTTAAGGCGAGAGATAATCTGTGAGAAAGAGGGTCTCAATCGAGGATCACTGTGAAAGGAGATCAAGAAAATTTCCAAGGAAATAGAAAAAATATCAGCAACAAAAAAAAAATCATTCGCCAAGATTTTTAATGAAAAGAATTACGCTGCTGCTGGACCAAAAAGTGAATTGATGACTTACTTTTCCCAACAGTCCCGAATTATCTGGGCGACCACTGGATCTACCTCTTCAGGGATTATAAGGCGTCTATTCTGGAAACCAACAGCTCCAACAACTTGCATGGGGTTTAACCCAGTCCATGGTACACTTAATGTAACCAATTCCCACAATATTACACCAAAGCTGTAAACATCACACCTGAAGAGTGCAGTTTCATTAAGAAGATTGCATAATGCATCACATAGTCATAAACACGTCACGCTTTGAATCAACTTAACTTACTTTTCATTGGATGGCTCATTTCTTAGAACTTCAGGTGCCATCCATTCAGGCTGCAATCAGTTAGCAGTAATAGAAGTCAGCATAATTAGACACTTTTCAGGGCTTCAATACTAGATCAGAATTCCATACTCAATTTTATTCCTCAAAGCTATTGAAAAAAAAAGATTCATTTGACCTTAAGTACCCATGCCGGAACCTCGACACTGACTGGGGTATGGACACTCAGCAAAATTCTTTCGGGGCCAAATTATACAAAATTCATAAATAGACAAGTCAAACACTCAGACATACCTGTGTTCGACATGAATATCCCAGTCTTAATAATATAGCCTCAAAATTCATTTGTTTAATTGATAGAAAAATATTTGGTCGCATTCTCATTATATATCCTACCAATTCCCCCGCTGTTCTCTTCTTTTTTTAAGTGTGAATAGATTTATGAAATATTTTGTATACAAGGAGAGAAATACTGTCGCATGCACTCTGATTTTAGCTACAACTCTTCAGAAGACTCAAGACACTTCGACATGAATACAAAACTTGGGGTACAATGTTTTGAAATGGTCAGCACAAACCTTATTCAATGCTAGGATCCAATCAAAGGTAGAAGGTATAACACAAATCAGCAAAATAACAATAGAGAATTTGCACTCAGTTTTGGCGAGTGGCAAATGGACAGTAAGTTATCATGAAACTGGTCGAACAGACTTTGAAAATCTCTGATAAGGAGACGAAGGCTTCAGTAAACTAGTATCAGAAATGAATTACATTGAAACACAGAAACTTTCTTTAGCATTCCATTCCCTTCACTGTCCCCCCCCCCCCCCCCACCCACCCAAAAATATTAAAAAAGAGGTTCTTCCAATAAAATTCAAAGAGGAAAGCTAAAACCAATTTAGCTACTCATAACACTTGTTCAGCTAGATGGATGACACAGAGTTTAAAATATAAGTGGTTGGCTGGTTGCCCATAGCCAATCTCAGACAATAACTGTTTTATTTTTAAGATCAGAGAGTATGCACATGGTGCTCCAAGCGATATGCATGCTTCTTTCCCGAAATTCATACCACTAAGACTGCCTTAGACCCCCCCCCTTTAGTTTGCTATATTAAGAGTTGGTTCAACTGAAAGCATGTGGTTTCAAATGCATCCCACTAAGACTGCCTTACCCCTTAGTTTGCTATTCTAGACTAATTGGGTTTCAAATGCATTATTGCAAGTGCATAGCCTCTCTAGCTAAGCAATCTGAAGCAGTTTTATCGGCATCATTTGCAGTGCTGTTTTCTTTTTTAAAAAAGGAAAGACGAGAACATCTAATACATTTACATATCGTCACCTACATAAGGCTACATTATCCAGAATTTGGTTTAAGAGAGCAAAAGAGTTGTGTAGTTTAAGTTCTCGGTCAATAACACTGACAGAACTTTGCCATGCACAGAACGCAGAGAGAAAATTGATGAGCAATAAAAGAACAATGACACACACCATCAAACAGGCTAGATTTAATACTCTAGTTCCTATAACACATTTTATAAAATGCAAGAATGCATAGATGATCAAAGGGTTTACCGTTCCAGCAGTAGAGTTTGAAGATAAGTAAGTGTGGTACTTCAAGCGTGACAGACCAAAATCACAGACCTGATGATGACATTAACAATTGTGTTAGAGTTCTGCCGAAATATACAAAGTCTAAATTCACGAGACATAGGTGAGCCAGCACACATGCATCTTCTGAAATATTTTTAATTTCAAAATGGAATGCAAGATATAGTTAAATAAGATGTTACTTCAAGTTAAGAGCATTTTACTAAAGCTTGAATGGTTCCATTTGACACAAAAACATAGCATCCATGTTGTACAAATTGGACTTAATACAAGGAGCATAAAAACTAACCTTCACAACCCAGTTTTTATCGACAAGAAGATTGGGAGACTTCAAATCTCGATGGACAACAGTAGGATGACTCGTGTGCAGATAATTCATTCCCCTAGCCTAAAAATATGTAAATGAAAGGATTAACATTTGCAAAGCATATAAAGAGAAGGAGAAAAAAAGAAAAAAAAACACTAATGAAATAGAACTGAAATGATACCACATCAAGAGCCATTTTCATTCGTTTTGATTCATTAATTTGAGCTCCAGATCGATGCAATAATCTGTACAAACTGCCCCTGCATAACAACAATACAATGTTCAGAAGTGCAGCACAGCAGATAAAACTAAATCAAATAGCTTAAAAAATGATAACAATACTTCTTTCCTGTCAATTGTCATACAGGGAGCTTCATAAAATTTAAGCTTTGCAGTATCATGTATAGTACATGTCTAATGAATTCAGGTTACATTGGAAATGGTGGGTTCATTATCTATGTGTTGTGAACACCTATACAATAACTTTGTTGTGATTCGTCAATGCATGCTTAGAAATTCACTGGGTATTTGACAGAATTGTGTTCTAATCTTCCTAAAATCCCTACAGCGCTGCAACTCCCACATGCGTTGCCACATGCGTTGTTCATTTACGAAAACAATTGTGAATTCCTTGCTAGATACCCAATTATTTCTTCATAATAATGTACTGCAATAAAACTACACTCCTGCTGTGCCCTTTAAAATCCAACATCAAATTGTGTCTTCTCATAAGTATCTGTATATATTAAAGCAGCTAGGCTGCTAACTGCCACCTTAACCTAACATACACTCAAACTGCATAAAGCCTCTAAATGATCAGTGGTAACATAGAGCAGAATCTAAAGAACCATAATAAATACAATAAACACCAAACAAAATCCCTAATATGACCACATTTTTGTTTAAATAAAAAAGACATTTCAGAATAGATGATATGCAAAATCCATGACTTAAAATTAACTTATAGTTTACGTGCAACTAAATCTGACAACTAGAATGATTCTGCTATGGATAGATGCAGTACTAACCGGGGAATAAACTCCGTTAAGATTGAAAGATTTGGGGACCGGGTAACCGCACCCATAAAGAGAACAACATTAGGATGCCTCAGCCTTATCATCATTTCTGCCTACAGAAACAACCAACACAAAGTCAATAAGCAAATAAATCAATGAAGAAATAACAACAATTAACAAGAAAAATAGAAACCAAGGAAAAAGGCAGCAGCAACACTTACTTCACACTTAAATTGAACAAGCACATCGCCAGTTAAGTCTTGGACTAAGAACTTCTTAACAGCAACCTCCTGGAAGAGACAGAATAATTAATTACATTAGTAAAAAGTAGCAGAGCAACTAAGCGTTGCCATCGTGAATAACAGTGACGAACAACATATGTAGCCACAAACAGACAAAGGAATAAAAAAGGGAATTTACAATTTGACATCAACAACATATGGGCATAGCTAAAATTAGCACAAGGTAAATGCGTAACTAAGATTAGAGATTGATATCTCATTCCAAATTGAACTCCTGTACTACGTATATCTTTCGGATAGGATGAATCACATGTTTACATCATAATAATTCATATCAGGAATGCAATCATCAATCCCCATAATACAATTACCCCTGTCCCACTTCAATAGTCCTAAATTGACTGCACCCAAATTAAGAGTGCAATAGCCTGCAAAATTTCTACTCCCTCCGTCCCCGAAAGAACGACCCTTTTGGGTTGATTGCGCGGGTATTAATAAAGTTAAATAAAAAGAGATAAAAGTATATTGGAAAGATAAATTTACATGGAGTTTACATAAAGTAGAGAGAGATAGTAATAAAAGTATATGGAAAAACAAAATTTTATATGGGGAAGCTAATTTTGCACAAATATTATTGTAAATTGGTGGGCATTTTAATGCTAATGGGTCATTCTTTTTGGGACTAAAATTAGGCCAAATGGGCCGTTCTTTCGGGGACAAATGGAGTATAATGAGAAAAGAACCTAAACTTAGAACTCTCCAAAAAAAAAGTATACGGGACTCTAAGTACAAAGGGAGTGTTATTCATACGAATATAGCCATGGTAAATAAATTTACATCAGCAAAAATTCTCCATTGTTGCTGGTGACACCCAAATTGATGTGAACTAAGAAACCATCACTGATTGAAAAGCAAAATAAGACTTGCATCTGATCATAAGTTTCCTGAGTTAGCACCCTCAGGTTTTTCATCAACTGTATTAACAAGAATTATATAAATGAGCAGAAAGAGCATGGATATGTATTAGACCTTCAATTATTATACTAGAATAAACACTCTTCAAACCTATTAGATATTAATACTCCTTTCTCCTTGCATCAATGAGCTTTAATTTGGTTACCACAGAAACACAAGCCCATAAAATGAAACCCAACAGAGAAATCACAATACAAAGAGAGACATGGCAAGTACAATGAAGAGGTAGATGTACAGAAATCAGAGGACTAGAGGGGCAAGAAAAGGATGTCAACTGATAAAAGCAGCCGCATGTTGGGGAGAGGATAGAGTACAGATGAAAACTTTAAAACCAAGAAGATTGGGTGCCGAATGGCGAACACAACGAAATACATGCAAAGAAGCTTTAAAGAGGTTGGCCGATCAAGATCCATGGAAACTGCCAGCAACAACCAGATTTCTGGCTAGTTTGAGGAGCTGATATAAACCGAGGAAGAGAGACAAAATGAGGCACAATAAATTATGGTTCTGCTTCCGAGCTTTGTAGAGTTTCAAACACGTTATGTCCACCATAAATAAAAACTTAACTCTGTTCAATCTAAAGTTATGATCTCTTATAACACAAAATTTTTGGAAACCAATACAGGTATTCCTGAGGCACCTATGCATCATTTCATTGATATTCAAAACGTTTCAAGGAAAACAAAATGTTAGCCACTGAGTGTTTGTGCTTCCTAGGTGATTGATTGGCTTCCATTCAAAAGTGATAATTCCTACTATAATGTTCCAACGCTCATAAATAATATAAAATTTTAATACTATTAAATGGAAATTTGATTTTTTTTTTTTCTTTTTTCTCAAGCAATACATATTCACCACATGACCAAAATCTAATCTAATTGTTAAAAGTTGCTGTCAAACTCCTCAAATTGTTAGCCACTGAGTGTTTATGTGCTTCCTAGGTGATTAATTGGTTTCCATTCAAAAGTAATAATTCCTACTATAAAGTTCCAACGCTCATAAATAAAATAAAATTTCAATACTATTAAATGGAAATTTGGTTTTTTCTTTTTCTTTTTTCTCAAGCAAGACATATTCACCACATGACCAAAATCTAATCTAATTGTTAAAAGTTGCTGTCAAAATCCTCCAACAAACCCCTAATGTATGAGCCTTAACAGCACAAACAAGAATTTCAAGATAAAGGGGCAGAAACTTCAACAATACATATATTACAAGCATGCAAATCCATGGAAAACTACAGAAGTCACAGCAAAATATGTATTGTGTCGAAGAAAGTACTTACAGTGCCATTCCAATCTGCACGGTAAACTTCACCATAGGAACCTGTGATGACGATAAGAGCAGGAAAACTCATATTATTTTCACCCATCAAAAAAAAAATATAAAGGCATACAAGTCAAAATAATTAATTATTAATCATTATGCTATGGATCTTGATGACTTTATACAGTAACTTCAAATGGATGGAAGGAATAAGTGGTCTACGATGAAAATACAGTCTCTTAAGAAAGATCCTTATCTTTGATTTGAATATGATACACACATAAATTTAGATTAGCAATCTGTTCAAATTCTTTTCAAGTATTCACTTACTCAATATAAGCATAGAAGGCAAACTCATATTCCCATATATCTCCATCTTTCAAGATATATCACACATCATATGGATTAATGTAGCCGGAAATAGCCAAATAAACTAGTTTTATTGAATTCAAAATGAAAATAATAAATGAAATTACACCCTCATAATATTTCATGGAACATTATCCACCATAACTCTAAAAGATGTCTAAGATCAAGCAAACTATAAATAACTACTTCCGTCCCAATTTAATCGTCTCATAAAGGTTTGCATAAAGTTTTAGGTGAAGTTGTTTTGTTGACTTACCTATAAAATTTTAAAACAAAAGTAAATGTGATGGGTGTAGGACCCTTACTTTTGGTAGTGGGCAGAGAGTAATAAAATATATTCGGGTCAAGCCATAAAAGTTAGCGTGACAATTAAAATTGAGGACAGAGGGAATAAATGAACATGCTACTCCCTAATAAGATATAATGCCAAAGCCATTTTTCATTGGGAAAGAACCATATCCAACCCAAAAAAAAATGTTGCATCAACATGAAGTAAAACCCACCGCAGATGACATGGAAAGACTTTAGAATGCAAGTTGTTCCAATGATCATATCTTTCATGCCACTAAAATCCTAATTAACCTATTAAATAATCCAATAGCTAATGATTATGTCGGATTCATCTTTTAGCTCCTGCATCATCTAAGCTTATATACCACCTGCTAATGATCTTACTGCCATTTCTTTACTTAAGTCCCCCCCCAAAAAAAAAAAAAAAAAAAAAAAAGAGCCCCGACACCCCAAAAGTCTAGAAATTTAATCCCTAACCCTAATATGTCATCACATTATAAATCAAAAAAATTATATATTTAAAAAATTGGAAAATAATTGCAACACTTAATTTGTTGCCATTTATCGAGACAGCAAGGCCAGCAACAAAGGATTTTATTCAAAACCGTGGGATTACCAAAAAGAACTTTAACTTTCTATCTTCCTATACATTTGCATATACTTCCTCCGTTTTATTAGATAAAATTCTTCATCTTTCAAGCTTACCAATGCATATAATATTTTTAAAAAATGATATTGAAAATATATCCTAAGATAAATCTATCAAAACCCCCACATGATTATGTGTTTCCTTACGAAAAAAATCATTAAAAACAAAAAGATTGTACAGTGTGTGAATAGTGTTAATTTCGGAGTGTTTCATCTAGAAGAACGAAGTATATCTTGTTAAATTTGTCTCGATGAATACTGTCAAATTATTAACTTTTATAATTTTTTTATTATACGCATTTAAGATATTGTTGCCAAAGATATGCAGTGAAAAAGATGAAAGTGTCGCCAGAGGTTCTTTAATATTCTTTAAAATAATACTAGAAAATAACTCTTTAAATGTTAAGTGGAACACTGTTTAGGCATCTCTAAAAAAAATGCATAGATAAATCCTCAAATGTATGGGGCCAGCTGCATTAACCAAGAATTAATTTCTTGTGATGATCCACATAGATCCCTTTTCTCCATTTGTTCTTATCTAATGCTAAATGCACCCACAAACCTGCCTTCTTCATGTCGTTCTTAAAGCCTTTTATCAAACTCAAGCCTCTTTAGACTCCTTTTCAAATCTCCATTATCCTAACTATTCACCTTCCTTAACTAGGCATCATCTAGTTGACGTCTCACATGCCCAAACCAATGTAGTTGATTCTCCCAAAACCTCAATATCTGTCACTCCATCTTAACTTCAAATATATAAATTCCTAATTTTATCACTCAAGATATTCCCACACTTCCATCTCAACATAAGCATTCTTGCTACCCTTAATCGAACTTAAATTCTAAATTTACTTATTCCTAATATTAATTAAACTATAACTATTCTACTTCATTTGCTACTCTCCTAGCACATCATTTCTTAGTTAGGAGCAAAGAGAGATCTAACCCCAAAATAATGGTACATCAACATGCATTAAAACCCAATCACAAATGAAATACAATGGGAAACAACTCAAACTTGTACATTGTATCATGAATCATATCTGCCAAGCCAATAATTATCCAATCTACCCATATATTAATACACAAGGTTTTTAAACTTGAAATACAAGCCAACTCCATTAACCAAGGATATCAATGAAATATTTATAGTTGGATCATCATTTAGCTCCCGCATCACATCATATAGGAGACATAAGGATTTGAATCAAGTACATTAGTCGGCTCGGAATATCTTAGAAAACTTTCAGGGGCCGTTTGGTTGGGGGTATTCATCAAAGGGAAAAGGAATCAACTACCCTGATTCCCTTTGTTGCTGTTTGTTAGCCCTTTTTTTTCATTCCCTTTCTCCCATCCATTCCCCCAAATCCTTCTAAGCCCATTCCCCACCCCCCCTAGGTATTTCCATTCCCATTCCCTACCACCACCACACCACCACATCACCACCTTCATACCTACCCAACCACCAGAAAACCCAACCACCGTCCTACCTGACCCTCGCCGCCCCTCGCCGACCCTCACCGACTCTCCCCTGCACCGGAATCGAATCGTTCGCTGCCCTTTTCGCACCGGAATCGCACGTCGCTGCCCCTTTTCGCACCTCCCTCAACCCTTTTCGCACCTCCCCCAACCCTTGTGGGAGGTTGTCGCACCTCAAACGGCGAGGGAGAATAGTTTCTAGGGTTTATTCGAGGCTGATGGTGGTTTTTCGGGGTTGAGGGAGGGTTTGCGAGGGGCGGGGAGAGCTGTGCGAGGGGCGGGGATGACCGGCGAAGGGAGGCGAAGGGGGAGGGAGGTGCGGCGAGTGGTTTGGTGGCTGGAAACGGTGGAGAATGAAGGTTTGAGGTGGATGTGTGGTGGTGGGACCGGTGGCCCTCATTCCCTTTGTTTTTAAGACCAAACAACATAGAAAATTTTAGGTATTTTCATTTCATTCCTTGTCTTTCCCTTTGTTCATTCCATTCCGATTACCCCTCGCGAATCAAACGGCCCCTCAAGTTATATGCTTATCTATGAAATTACACTTGGAGTCTTGCATTTTATACATTAACTTGAATATCACATAATAGGGATATGAAGGCCTAAGCAAATGCTTAAGGTTTACGATAAATTCATCGTCTCATTAAAGTTTCTATACTTTTCGTTTTCATCTCTCTATATCTCTCTCTCTAAAAAAAAAGGCTTCACTATTTCTGATCACACCTACCCTTTCAATAAAATAATATCCTATGATCTAGTTTATCGATAAATAAACTACTGAGTCAAGTCAAAATCAATCCATCATAAATAAACAACAAAAAGATGGGAGAGGCCATAACACACATTTGTTATTTTAAAATTAAGTATTTAACCCTAAATAACATCAGATTTTAGCTGAATGAGGATGTAGAGAATCTGACCTATCCCAATTCGTTCTCCAATCTGCAGATCCTCCCATCGTATCTCCCATTCTGCAAATTCACCAAGCATAGGGCAGACTCCTTCACTAGAGACGGGGCTAAGGCCCTCATTCTGGTTATCAGAAGAAAGTCTCTTGGCAGTCTCCAACTGAGAACTGGGCTCTTCATTTGATCCAGTTTGGTTCAAAATCTTTCCTCTGGAATTCCGAGAAGGCAGTTCATCATGACCAGCTAACCCACTGGAAGAGTCACCTGCAGTAAAAAAACATTAATAAGTAATACACCCTCATACTAAGATCCTCTGTCTACTCACTAATAACTTAGAAAACAAAGCAACACCTGTAGCGCCACTAGTGGTCATTTTGTTGGATTCGGTTGCAGCAAGAACGGTATTCTCAGCATTAGGCTTAGGAGAAAAAGGAGCATTTGCATCCTGTTGAGAATGCTGTTGTGTTGCATTATCAACATTCTGTTCACGCTTCTCACAGTGATTAAAGGTCTGCACCCCAGAGTTGCATACAATTGGCATCTCGTAACTAGGTCTATGACCCTCTGGGTTGTAACAGAGTAATTCTCGACGTACCGGTTGAATTAGTTCAAGCAATCTTTTGTCACGTAAAATACTAGGACTCATATCCATAAACAAATCCGCTGGAGGCGAAGCACCACTCTCTAACAAAACTGCATGCAGTTTCTGTGCAAATTCAGGATCTTTTGCTGCACTAATTACATATTTTGAAACATCCTTGACTTTCTTTTCTTGTGCCAGCGATGCTTCTTCAACAGAACTTGGTGAGCAATCGTAAAAATTGTATTCCGGCCTAAAAGACTGCTCAAAAGTGTAATCAGATTTCTCACTCAAATCTGATCTAACAGCAATCTCATTTACTTGTTTTGCTTGTGGGCTCAAGGAAGCTGCTTCTTTCAAATTGGAGCCAAACACTTCAGGAACCTCGACAATATTACGCAAATCTCCATCCAACCGAACCACTTTGTCCAAAACCAAACTTAAGTTGTTGACAGCAGCAGTGCTATCAGACAAGCCCCTTGCTTCCAGAGTAGTGTCCAAAAGAAGGCTACTAGGTACCTCAGAAGGAATTAGTGCCCCGGGAGCACCCATCAAATCAATTATGTACTCACTGCAATATAACACAATAAAAATTGAACATCAAGATAAAAGGAAAGCACTTGTTCCCAACCAAGCAAGATTGCATATAAAGAAAGATAGCACTCAGGGTTCAAGGAGTGAAGGACACACAAATAGCATTTGAAAAGACAAATTGATTGAAAATTTACCCACAATTTTACAGACTTCCAAAAACAAAAGCAATAAACCTTACCTTCCATCATCATATTTAATTAAGTTCACTGCTCCCTCATCAGTGCCAGTATACAAACTCCCTTTCACAAGCATGCATGGAAGATTTAACTTATCAGCTAGTACCTGGTACAAAAATTGTTGAATTTCTTTCTGGTGTAAGTATATACAGGAACAAAGCATATTACAGAAACATACAAATGAATAAGTGTGATCAATGTTAGCAAATGAGTCCCTAGCAGGCTAGCAAAACAGGTGATTATGTGATACTGCAAATTATACAATGCAAGATAGCAGAAAACAAACCAAAACAGGAAGGGAGCCCAATAACAGTAGTCTGCCCTCTTAAACCACCAAATGAAGAAGAAAAAAAAAAACCACATCTCACATATACTATGCAAAACAATAAAGGAAGTAAGCACACAATTTTTTTTTTTAACCTAAAAGTCATACTAGACATCAAAAATTAAGTTTAAAAATATTTCTTAGTATATCATGCTAACCATGCCTTGCAAACAAGGATAGCCAAAAATGTTGAAAAGCAAGAATATCCACCAGCTAGGATTTTTCCCTCCATAACATATTTTCCAACTTTGCAAGACTTAAACTTATCCAAATATTCATCTCTAACTTTCTGTCACAAAATTAGTAAAAAGGTTCATTTCAATATAGCATTTCATATATAATTATGTAAAATCACAGAATATTTATCCATAGAGGAACGAAGAAGTGGTAGCTACATAGTAGATTTCTTAATATCTCATCTGATTAGATACCTAAGTAGCAAGTGAACATTTTAAATTAAGGCTTTACACTGAGAAATTAGTCTGAATGTAGAATCCATAAGATACATAAAACTTTAACAGCTTATGTAGTTACTATCAGCATCAACATCAGCCACCGAATTAAGTTAACTAAAATTCCATGACATGTAAAACAATTAAAATTTTCACAAGATAACCAATTAGTTATTCACATCTAGGCAAATCCCAGTCCACAGCTTGCCACAAGACTCTTTGTGAAATTAGTAATCCCATCATCAAAGTTGTGTATATATCAGACATCAAGACTCTTTGTTATGATTATATAATAAAGATCAAAGAGAGATTTTGCAACAAAATGTCATAAAATTATAAGAAAATTGAGAGTCTAGAACAAAGGTACAAGCCCACAAAACCTTAAACAGCAAAGCACGATGTCGTGATAGCCCAACATCAAGACAACCAAGAGGAAGAACAATGGTGTTGAGAGAAGCTTTCAACTGATTACTTCTCACTCGCCACCTCTTTGTGATTTCTTCGGCATTAGCAACAGGACCACCCATTCTATCAACAACAAGATTAGCCAAACTCTGAATCAAATCATTCAAAGACATCCCATGTCCCAGAACCTTACATTCTACTGATATAGCATACACTTTATTCTCAAGCTGCTGCAACTGAGCATCAATAGACCGGTTCACCAAGACAACTTCATATTCAACATTACTCGAAATTGAAACAGCTTGGAGATCCACAAGCAACGGCATTTCCCCTTGTGCAACTGAATGCGAAGTGACAGCATAAACATCATAAAACCCATCTACTACCTTTTCATCGTATTGAACAACATTGTAGTTCTGCAAAGAGCAACAAATTCGAATACATTCACTAACTGCACAGACTATATTACATATATAGCATTAGCTTGTCCCATTATCACTTGCTATCTATAATTGAAATGAACCTAATCGAAATTTTCAATACACAAATGCCACAAACATCACAGCAATTAACATAACCCCAAGTAAAACCCAAAATCCAGCAACAACCCTTTACTTTGCTTAAATTCCACACTTGAAATGGTAAAATCATATGCTTACTTCTTTGAAAAACAAATTAAAACCAAATATACATGCCATTAATACCTAAATTACCAGTAAAATACAATCAATTCAGCTCAATTCATCCATAAAGCACTGTATATCAAAAAAATTCAAAATTGATGACCTAAAATTAGGAAAAGCAAGACTAACCCAATACTTAAGCGACACAAATTCACTCAATCGTTCATTATCCGGCACCGATGGCGAACACGCAAGACTCAATTGCTTAGCAGCCATGATCTGCTGGTCGGATTCATCATCGTTTCGGTCTTTTCGAGTTTCGGATCCCGAAGCGCTGATCGCCATTGCTAATTGAAGCTGAAAATCCTCCTCAATCAAATTAAAATCAGCAGGATTTCTTCTATTGACATTTCCACCAACATTCTCCGTCGCCGGCGTGGTAGCCGTCGATTCCCTTACTGTCCGATCACTCGAAGATACCGACGGCGGCGATGACGACGTTGACGAAGACGACGGCGGAGTCGTCGCAGTCGCCGTTGAAGTCTCCGATTCCTGAGTCCGATTATTAGGTATCCGACGAGCCGCCGAGTGATGGCGATTGTGATGGTCGTTACCGATGTGTAGCTTACGAAGTAGATGCTTCATCTTCGACATAGTTGTTGTTGTTGTTGCTGTTGCTCGAGCTTTACATTAATGGCGATTGAAGAGAGAGAAAGAGGGAAAGGTTTTTGCTGTTCAACTTTTGGGGGTTTAATTTTCTCTCTCCTCTTCTTCTTCTTCTTCTGGTTTTTTGTTTTCTGAGATTCTCACCCTTTTTTTTTTTTTTTTTTTTTTTTTTTTTTGGTTTTGGTTGTTCAAGTTTTTAGCTAAAGTGTTCGAATTTACTTAGTTTTTAACCCTTCACTTTTTTTCTTCTTATCTTGCTTCCCTCCAATCCCACTATCACTACCACTACCACTCACTTTAACCTTTCATTTCTCCAAGGTTTCAAAAACTAACCAAAAATAGAACATGGGTTTTCTAGTCTAGCCAAGGGATTTGTTAAACATCGCCCACAAATTACTACATAAAGCCCACAAAATTCACTTGGTTTCCCAAAATTGCCCTTGACCTTAAAAAAAAAAACACTCACACTCTCATCACTCACACTCTCATCACTCACACTCTCATTGCTCATCTTCTTTCAACCTCTCTAAAAAAAAAAAATTCAAAATAACGGCAATGTCGAGGCGGCAAGGCAAGGAAGTGGCGGCGGCGGCGGAGGGAAGGATGTCCCAAGGAGGAAAGGTATATTTTTGTTTAAAAAAAAAAAAAAAAAAGGGGAAAACCGCCGTGAACGCGGTGGGGCGCCCTGGATGGACGCCCAGCCAGCGGTGGTGGCGCCAGATGCAGACGCCGCCACCAGTTGGCTGGCGCCTGGGCTGGACGCCACAGCCACGGTTGTGGCGTTTATTCTAGGCGCCGCAGCCGTGGATGTGGCGTCCAGCCCAGGCGCCAGCCAACTGGTGGCGGCGTCTGCATCTGGCGCCACCACCGCCGGCTGGGCGTCCAGCCAGGGCGCCCCCCCCCCCCAATTTTTTTTTTTTTTTAATTTTTTTAAAAAATTGTTTTTAATTTATTTTTTTATTTTTTGTAATATAATTTTGAATTGTTTTTATATTTTGTTGTTTATTTTTATAAATTTTTTCAATTTCGTTGTATTTTTTCTACGTTTATATTTTGTTTACAATTATTTGTATGTTTTTAGTTTATTTGATTTGCGATGATGATTATTTATCGTATAAATTTTTGTATGTTTATATATTTTAAAATTTTGTGTAGGGTCGTCATGGTGCGGGGAAGAATATAGAGCTTCTTAGTAGAAGTTATTCAGTGGAGAGGTCGGGGCATAGACATGTCAGATCCCGTGGTATTTCGGCCTCAGTTCGTAGAGAACGGATCCACCGTCGGGATGAGGATGACGATGACGATGATGATGCTGAGGAGGGTGACCAGGAGGAGGAGCAGGAGGAGGGCGCAGATGAGGATGAGGATGTGGACGATGGCAGTGGACCGTATGATGATTACGGTCCATTCAGTCAGAGGGTTGATGACATGTACGAGACGCATATGGTGGAGGTGCGTAAGGGTAGGGGTGGTAGGTTTGTTAGTAGATCTGGCACATCATCTGCGTCCACTGTATCTGGGGCAAGCAGGAAACGGTCGAGGGCCGGTAATGATTCTTGGGTTGTTAGGAGTGAGGTGCCCGGTGGGCCTGTTGACGGGAGTGTGATTCCTAGCTTTCTAGGACACATAGCTGCCCGTATTTGGGAGGACCAGGAGAGGCCTTCAGTTACGGGGTTGTTGAAATGTCATACCCGGGAAAAGACTTGTAGCTTTTTGCGTACATGGGCTGAGGCCTGGCCGGCGGAGAGCGAGATGTTCGAGCGACTGGAGGGCACTGGGGTGAAGCACGTTCCTGCCACCATGCACGATAAGATTGACAGTACGCTGATCACGGCTTTCATTGAGCGATGGCAGCCGGATACAAACTCTTTCCACCTTCCGTTCGGTGAGATGACGATCATGTTACATGACGTCGAGGCCATTCTGGGGATTCGTGTTGAGGGTAAACGACTTTGTGCTGTGGCTGATGCGGATCAGGCAGATTCGCTGGCGGAGTTGTTGGCGGTGGACAGGGCTGCACTGTACACCGAGGCGCTAGGTGTTTGGGAACACGGAGGTGTGAAGATCGCATCCGTGTTGCAGCGGTGTTTGTACCCGAGTGCACGTAGGACGCCCGACGCACAGCTGAGTGCTTATGTTTTTCTACTCCTCGGATGTACCTTGTTTCCGGATAAGAGCGGCGGAAACAAGCTCAGGCCACGCGACATCGTAGAGGCGTGTGACCCCGACAGTGTAGGTCAGTTTTCCTGGGGATCGGCTACGTTGGCGTATTTGTATCGCCAACTACGATTTGCGAGTCGGGCTGACGCGGCAGGTATCACTGGGTGTCTGACTCTATTGCAGACCTGGATATACGAGTACTTTCCTGCATTGCGACCACATCGTGACCCAGTTCCTATTGATGAAGGGATGCCGCGTGCTTGTGCTTGGAGTCCGCGCTCGGAGAAGAAGTCCGTTGACCGCCTCCGATCGATACGGTTATTGCTGGACAGGCTGTCCCCTTTAGAGGTAACGTTTATTTATAGAGTCTACATTTTATTATTTGCACATATTATATTCATGTTATTAAATTTTATATGTTGTTATTGTACAGGTGAACTGGATGCCTTTCGGCCCGAACCCTAGTGTTAGGGTACCCAGGACCCTGTACACGGGACTCATTCAGTATCGTGACATCGTCGAGGCGTACATGCCCCAGCGTTGTCTTCGCCAGCTTGGATTTGTCCAAGTTGTCCCTCCTCCCCCGGCGTGCCCGATGAAGGCGGTCCGACCTGCATCGTCGAGGGAGTACGTCGTGGAATGGCCGGATATCATGACCGGGACGTGGGACCAGTTTCCGATGGTGGCCCGCTTATGGACTGCGGAGTTGCAGCGGCCGCCCTCTGGGGTTACTCCCATGTGTGACCATTACTACATGGAATGGTTCAACCGGTATTCGCACCCGAGGTTGATCGCTGATCTCGACCACATCGATGATGATTATGTGCCACCGCCTACTGCCACGGAAGCGGTATGTCTTTTATTATATTTATCGTTGTCTTTTAATTAAGTTTTATTTGTTGTTATTGTATTTCATCTTCTGTTTTTTGTTGTATGCAGTGGATGGGAAAGATAATGCAAGACGTACAGAAACTCTCTCTTGAGAAGGACAACATGAGTGCAACAGGGAGAGCTGTTGTTGATAGTCTGGAACAGACCCTTGCGCAGTGGGAGTCGTCGTCGAGGAGGGATTACTGATGGTTATTGTATTTTATTTATAGAGCATTATATTGGACATTATGTTGTAAAATTGTAACATTTTAGATTGTTCTTTTAGCTTCCAACTTAAACATATTATCAGTGCTGTTTTTAAATTTTGATATAACCGTTCGTGGATCCGCGCAACTTACCCATGCAACATATAGAATGCAGTAAGCAATACAATATAAAATATTAATGTTCTCATTAAAAGAGCAACGTACAAATAAGATTACAAATAAAGAATGTAAACATGAAAAACTAAAATGCAGCTAGGGTGTTCCATTCGTGGATCCGGTCATTATATAGCGCATCCCAACCCTCTACGCTCGCTGTGCGAATGTTGTACCACCGAGGTATAATCGGTGGCACCGGAAAATCGGTTGACATGTCTAGTCGGATGAAATGTCTGTATGACGACCCAAGAAACGCAATAGCTAGCTCTCTGACCGGTGTGGTGACAGTCTCACGCGACCGCCAAGGGAGAACCGTGGTACAAGGATAATAAGCTTGACTATGCACTCCCAGGCCGAAATGCATGACTGCGCATTTGTAAATGTTTGCAACGGCAAACAGATCTAGGGGCGCGTCAAAATAATGATTTTCGCCGCAAGGTCCACCTCCCCACCGGATACGCCGCAGAGCGCCATCCAAGTCATCCTGGTACACATGACGATAAACATTTCGGTTAGAGGCAATTTCGCTGTACATCAACTCACGCACCAAACCGTAGTTGTCTTCGCCCATTTGAAAAACATCAGCCACGACCCGGAATCCGCAGTTACCATCTCCGGTAGCTCTATGAGCGCTCTCAACTCTACATGTTGTAGTGTTCCCAAAATGAAGTACCTGGTTTGTCCAATATTTGACAAACTTTTCCCTGTGAGGGACCCATTGATGCATCACATAGTCCACCAGTGCCGGACACCACTGGTACGAATCCCTGAAGTTAGCCAATGCTCGCTCATACGCTTCCTCTGTGGTAGCCTGTAGGATCTTCCGCCACTTACCATTCACCAATCTCTCTGCCATTTCCAAATTCTTCTTGAAAAGGTTGTAGGCTTTCACTTTCACGCAGTTGTTGATGTGCCATGTGCACAATAAGTGGTTCGATTCGGGAAACAGCTCTGCTATGGGGGCAAAGAGACCTCCCTCACAGTCGCTGACGATGGCTGTTGGATGAACATTAGGCCCGATGTAGTTTCTCAGCTTCTCCAACACCCAATAATAACTTGGAGCCGTCTCATCCCTGATGATTGCATGACCAATCAGAAAGTTCTGGTTCGTTGGAGCCATCCCAACCATCTCAACCAGAGGGAACTTGTACTTGTTTGTCTTGTACGTTGAGTCGATCAAAATCACAAATGGCCAAGACTTGATCATATCAGCACAATCAGGATGCACAAGGAAAAGATGAGTCACCTCCGCTGTATCTTCATCAGAATCAAACCAGAACAGGTAACCACGTGATTGTGCCTGGTGGTGCAGCTGCTGTATAGGGTTCCTTCCCTCTGACCGTTCAAACCTGAGTTGCTGTCTGACGTTGTAGATGTGTCTTCGGTTTGGATGGTCTTCTGGAAATTTCTCTAACACAGATGCTAATATTTTAGCAGGCTTCACTTGAGCATCACTCATTTCTTTCACAACTAGTTTCGCAGCAGGACTTAAGCCGCTCAGTTGTCGATGACCCTCTTCATATACTATCATCTCATGGTTGTGATACCCCCATTTAGAGTAACCTATCACTTCCCAACCGTCACGACTCCGTAGTTGTCGAACCTTTACTCTGAACTCACACCCACAACCTTTCCGCTTTGTGTCAAACCGAGTGGCTGTACGAAAATCTCTTTCTTCTCTTCTGCGATAACGGTCACATCTCAAAATGCGATCCATTCTACCATCCCGTTGAGATTTATGAGTTGCTACTACCAAGCAAAATCCAGCTGCAATTGCAACCTGTTTTGCCCAATCAATCGCCTGTTGAGCTTCTTCGAATGGACCATCATGTCCAAATATCCCACTGTAATCATTTCCGTCTCCACCATATTCCTGCATCAATTATATATTACAATAAATACATTTAACGGATAATACATTTAATTTCTATATTTCCACAGAATTAACACAAAAAAAAACATAATTATATATAATCAAACTTAATTTTTATAAAAACCCAATTCGAAT